CCTTGATATTGTATTGATTACTAGATTATACAGTTACATTATACATTCGGTATCATATTCGCACAATATAACATGCACGTTAAGGATATTATTCCGTGTTGATTTTCTTTATTTGCAAGTGTGGTAGTTACGATATATTACAATATGTCAACTATTATGTCAAAGAGTATGAAATGATGAGTAAAATAATTTGTGATCGGTATTTTAACTTTTTGTAAGCATTAGTGTGACATCATTTATTAAAAATAATGGCATGTACAAAAGGAAATTGAACTGGGTTGCCTTATTAATTTGACGATCTTTCGCAAAAACCACAGCCAGATGTAATGGGAACTTTACCTAACCGTTCTATCGGTTCATTCAACATATGTTTTATGTCATAAATCAGTCGGAAAAAAATACTATTATGCCAAAAGTGTATAAGGGTAAAAAATACGGGATTCTAATAAGCAAAACATGCTTTTTTAACGATTGCTTATAATATGTGTGTTAAATTGACATACACACGGCTACACGTTAGGTTCGACAATATGTAAAGTTTAAAAATTTTTTATTTGAACTCTATATGTAATAAGTTTTGAAATAAAGTGCAGAGAGATTGACAGTTGGGTATAACCTGGTGTGCTGTTGAGTGTATAATTAACGAATATTATTAATAAATATGAACGCAAGTTGTTACACATATAATGTAATGTAATAGATGTGACCTTTTTTATATTTTTGGACTTTTTTATAAATAGATGCATCTGTAGTTTAAATCAATTTTTGAAACGGTTGGTTTGATATAAGAAAATTGAATTATTATATCAGCTTTAGTGTTCTTCAAAACAGCGTCAAATACAGCGTCGAACTTAGCGCTGTCGAAGAATTATATGTTCAATCCAGTTCAATCAAATAAAAATCTCTTGATGAATCTCAACAAATCGAGACCACCAGGTATTATTTATTAAGGAAAACAACGAAACACTCCGTCACAGCTTTATATTTTGATTCTCAATGAAGTTTTACAATTGTTTCATGTTAAAAAATTATGAATGAATTTGAATGTAAACCGCCTAAAAGTTTTGCGTAGGACTCCAACAATGACCCTTTGAATTAGGTTTCAATTAATCTATAATACTACTTAGTTTAGCCATAAGTTATGTTACAAAGAAAATATCACATAATTTGAAAAAAAGAAATGATTTTCTTTTAAAGTTTTATATGTGATTATATAGAGTCAAAAAGATATGTTTACGTACTAAATTAGTTATTCGAAGTGTCCACCCTTAGCTTTAATGCACGCTTTTAAACGGTCGAGTCATTCGTCGATAGATTTACGAATTGTTTCCATTGGAAACTTGGTCATTGAAATATTTGGGTGACGCATACAGCAGGCCACAATTTATAGTCTAAATGGTTTAACATTTTTCTCAAGTCGTATGACCCGGCTGTTGGAATGTCCGCACTTTATTTTTAAATAAGGTGTTGTTGAGAGGCTGAACTACCACTTCTAACACGGTATCTTGATACACTTTGGCTTAAGATTTCACTCCTTTTCCGCAAAAATGGAGTTTTGTAACCCCTTGGTAGGAGACACTCCACCAAAACATTACGTATGCTGGATGATGGCCTCGCTGAACTTTGGCCACTAACTCGGAAGCTTCTTTAGAACTGTGTCTTTACATTTTGTTTGTTGGAGTGCTCCTCGATTGTAAAAAAAACATTGGTAAAGAGAATTTTTCTGTGTTTTTCGCCCGCGTATCGAAGTAACAGCTGTTTTAATCTTTCGACTCTTTTGTTTTAGTGCTTGACTTAAGGTGTGTCCTGTGTATCTCCGGTAAGCCCCTAGAACTAAGTCTTGTTTAATAATACGAGAAAGTGCCCTCAGTGGGATTCCCATTTCTCTAGAAAGGATTTTCTGCTTCCTTATGGGATTTCGACGAATTCTGGCGTTGACTGCATTAACGGCTTGGTTTGTTCAAATAGACTGCGGTCAGCCGGATCTCTCACGGTCATCAACAAACATGACTCCAGTGTACCTTTGGGTGGTACGATACACAAACATTCGGCTAATCCCTAGCTTTTTCAATGTATCAAAAATGTCGGCTGGCTCCTTACCTACTTGTACTGTGTAATTACTTCCATCTCTTTAGTGCCCCACTCGGTTTCCAAAACAAATAATTTCTAAACAAAACATGCAATAAAGAAGTCTATTTTTTATCGTAGAAGCTAATGATCGAAATTCAAATTAATGTTTTTTTTTTAATGAATGTAAACAACCAATAGCAGAACATATGGCTAGACTAGGTATTTATATCCTTGCTTTTGACGTTGTATTTTTAACAGGTCAGCACTGCTGAACACAGGTTAATTTTTAAAATACAACAGTCTTGTTTTTAATGTATTTTGTTCATTATTACATTATAAGTTTTTCATTGTACGCACAAGCAACATTTTTAACGCATCTACGAGCTAAAAATAAAAATAAGTTGTAGAAAAAATTACTCCTAGTCGGATAGTAGTTCTGAAGATTTGGTTGGTTGGTATCGTTTTAGTACATATTTCGAGAATGAACAAGAAGTTGGTTATCGGTGAAGGGAGTCATGTGATAAAAGCATTATGCGATAATCTTTTTCACTAAGCATGGGTACGGTGACGTTTGGAATTTGAATTTTGTATTGATGTGGTAATAAAAATTATAAATTAAAAAAAATATTTTATAGAGTTCAATACTTAAAGAGAGATAATTGATTTTGATGGCAGTGTAAAAACAAGATATTCTAAAGACGAATTAGTTGATTTTTCACCTAAAATATTGTTAAATTAGTTGATTTTTCACCTAAATAATTATAAAACAATAAAATTTATTGCCTACTTTAATGTGCATATCCCAGTATATGTAGCATAAGTTTTTTGGTTTTTCAACAACTCCTTTCCTTTTTCCGTCTCCGATTGGGATGTTGTTATATGTAATTTATAATAACAAAACGAATTTTCGTTGATGTAAGTGGTGTAGCCGTATTATTTCGTATAGCATATGCTCAAATACGAAAAAGAAACAAATTAAAAAAATAATTGTTAAATTCATCAAATGGCCTTTTATTTGAGCCCAATTTATTTTTATTTTTTTATTTATTTTGATTTACCAACATTCAATACATTATTACGTACCATAATAACTAGATTTAGCTCAAAAGAAGAAATGTATCAAACAATTACAGGTAAATACCACATGCAATATTAATATTTTTTTTTTTTACAAAGTATATGACATTGGGGATCCATCTACAAATTTACTTACCAAATCTCTAACCCTCAAAAACTAGTTAACAAACTTTTCCAATTAATCTTTACTAAGACTGAGACCACAAAAATGGTTTTTGATACCTTTTTACGAAAATAGAAAAATAACATTACGCATATTACCATGCGTTTGATAAAAATGACAATCCTTGATCAGAAAATTCCACAAAACAATTTTTGACTATTTTAGGTCTTTTTACAGTTTTTACAATATTAATAATAAATATCTTACCTTTTATGCTTAGAATGAGACAATGTGACGATATTTCGCATGCTGTTCAGGGAATCAAAGTGGACATCAAATGTATCGCTATACTTGTTCACAAGATTGCAAAGTCTTGGAATTGGCGCACCAAATACGGTCCTGCGAAATGGGGGGCTTAGTGGCTTTGTTATTGTTCTTCAGTGATACCTGCCTGGGACTCGTAATCTAAATAATGTTAGTAGTGGCGGACAGTCAATTTTATTGTTTAATAACTTCCATGTGAAACTGATATCACTGAGTTCATAGCGGCATATCAGAGACGTAATTTTATAATGCTCAAGGCGTTCGATTTATCGGACAGTCTTCATTTTCCTTGCGATTCCATTTGCGAAAGTCAAGTGCCACAGGAATCTTTTCTGAACTCTCTCTAGCCGTAAGGAGTGAACCGCAAAGTGAGGTCTTCATACAATACTGGCATATTCGAGAATACTTCGCACTATGCTATTGTAAAGAAGAATTTTTACTTTGTTGCTGTGAAAAATTAGTTCATTTATTGTTCATAATTATTGCCCAAATTAGTTCATAATTAGTTAATTATTTTGGCAGTGATAATGCGAAAGTCTTATTATTTAATGACCATATCTTGCAATTTCGTCCAATTTGTAGATTCGTTCGAGACTTGTGTATTTTTACTTAATTCACTAGCTTCACTTTAAGTATTGTTTCATCGGCGTCTTTATGGTTCGGTTCAAGTCACCCAATTTATTCGTTTTTATAGGATGCAGTAAGTGGTTTACTTATTTGCACACAATGTTATGACGGATTGTCAATAAAAAAATACACTTTACTCACACACGGCTGCACGTCAGGTGTCATATTTCTCCAGTTGATTAAGGTTTTAAATAAAGTAGAAATCTCATCAGATTTGTAAAACCTACCCTGTTGTCGACTGTACATTTGTTCAACATACAATCATTTAATGAACATAATAGCATTCATATCTTGTTATATTCATATCCGTCTTCTTAGATGTCGTTTCTTATGTTTCTTAGATGTTCTTCTGAAATGTTAAAAGAGTATTGTCAACATACCCGTTACTTGTACCTACATGGTAAATAGTCCTTTCCTTTCTGGCATTTTGGTAGAGGCATGAGATATATCATCTTCCACATTTTACCCACCATATGTTTAGCATTCAACTATGTCTCATCCGGAAACACTACATTGTTCCAGTCGGTAACGGCTTAAGCTATTCCCAGAAATTTCTCTCTTTCCATCGAAGTTTTTCTTTTTAAATTAACTTTTTTAGTTTTAAAACCAATAAAACTAAAAAAGTTAATTTAAAAAGAAAGGACTTTCAGTTACTAAAGCTGTGTCTTTTAAATATTTCACCAGTTTAACTAATTGTAGCTTAAGTATTAGGTATTAAGTATTTGTAGCTGTTTTTCTTTATAATAATTATAAATGTGATTATTCTGAATGGCATCTGCAGTGAATCTATAATTTCATACTAATTCCGAGTGATTCGCGAACATTTATTCCGTCCAATGGCTAGCGCATTTGCAACGCGACTACATTGGAAACAGTCATAGTGATCATATTGGATGTAAGCAGCAGCGGCAGTGCTAAGATATCCATCAATTGTTCCCTCTTTAGGGTCTTGGATGTCTCTAAGAATACGAGAGACAAAGGTCTTAACCTCCTCGGGAAGAGAACCAGTTTTTGTTTTAATTAACATGTACCAGGACTCTGGATCCTTTGATTTTAGAATTAACTTTTCAGGGTCGTGTTCATCTCCTTCATCATCGTCTTCTTGTATATCACATTCCTCACCGGTTATGGTGTATACCTTGGTGAAGGAGAACGTTATTGCGTACACAAAGGCTTAACATGCTGCATTTGCAAATATGCCTGCCGCTCGAGCCTCACAGATATGTCTTGCGTTCATTGATCGTGCACACCTCATTGCCCCGACAAGATGTACCCACTAAAAAAGTGAGGGTTTGCAGATGCGGAAAATGCAGACTTAATTACTAGATCGAAGTCTACACGATAAGGAAAATATGAGAATGGTCAGCTCGTCCAGGGGGTTCATCATTCTGTCAATATCGTCTCCAATCTGTTCAACAAAAACCCAGTCCATAAGCTCTGTCGCCTGGGTCATACCAAGCAAACTTGTGATGTAACCATATGAAATTAAACGCATTATGCCGTTCGCACTCAAACTAAGCCCGCAGCCGAATTACCAATGCATGAGTTTGACCACCTAGCATAGTCATTTTCGTCATGTTACCAAAAATGACAATATAACATTGAAATTCAACTATCTAAAACTCAACAATAATTTTCTAAAACATCACATAAAACTCAAAGCAAAACGAACCGGAGCGCATACATTACTAAAATAATTAAACACAAAAGTTACATAATTTTGTTATATGTAAATTTTATTTCTTCAACGATAACATAAAAATTGACTAATTATTAAAACAAATATAGGTTATATTAAAGAAGACGATGAACATGCAAATGATAATTTATTATTTATTTGAAAATACAATTTGCGCGAAATGATTTATCAACAATAGTCACCGTACCCAATCCAGCATGGCTTAAATAGATTATAGCAAGTTTTATGATAATAATATACTTAAATATTTTTTTCATAAATACTCAACATATGTACACATACAAAACAAACAGGCAGGCTACTTAGAATTGCCGCTGTATTTTCGGCATGACTTCGCTGGTCTATCGATAATACCTTAGTATTATCGATAGACCAGCGAAGTCAGGCTTTCATCATAGAAAGAGCAAAAATCGATCGTTCGACAGTCACTACCGACCACTACATTCATTATATGTTATACTGTGTATGTATCAGTAGAGAAAGAAAGAAATCGTTTTATTATAAAACGAGGATTAACATTAGTAATTATACCAGGTTTCCGTTAGTTTAAACCGAACTTATTAAATAGAGAATACGCCTTATTTGAAGTTTTCTCTTCTGTCATTGTCAATTGGCTTTAGGAGTTTAATAGTTTTTACGAAGTAATATAAAAAAATATTTCACAATGTAGCACAGTGTAATACAGAACACAGAAGTCTGTATTAAAAAACTACTGACTTTAGTTCTCGTTTTATAAAAAAGACTTACAGGATCATACGTATCTCGATCTAAATTAATAGGTTTGCCTTCTGCGCAAGCTCGTCTCACCATAGATCTCATTTACGTCCTTGGGCTAGATCTAGGTCAAGAGTGAGTCCATTATAAATAATAACAAAAAAAGATCTTTCTAATCGAACGGACGTATTTTTATCACAATTTACCTATTGTAATATGAGATACACTAGGTACTACAGGTAGTGTTGGTTGTCAGAAAAACGTTACTTTTGATTAAAAGCTTTATTTTATTTAGGTCTGTTTAGATATTAATTAAGTGTGTGACTGAACGGGTACTATGGTACTTATAATTTATATTCTACTCGTCATATTTAAAACTACAAGATTTAGTAATAATTTGAAAATAAATATAATTATATATATATAAATATACTGAAATTGATGTTATTATTTCCTAAAAGTGATCAAACCTAGCCACTCTTGGACTTTTTATTTATGCTGTTTAGAATTCCAAATGTATATGATGGAATTTCAAGAATGAAGAATAAAAAGAACACTACTGAATGTCTTTTGCAGTTACTTGTGAACTTGACAACCAATTAATCTTAAAAACTGGTTTACTCCATCTAGTGTCACCAAATTGGAATATCATTGGTAGTGGATTACAATAGATCTCAGTGATATCTGCGTTAACCCATAAAAATGATACTACCCATCGTGTTAATGTCAATTAATAAACACCTCAGAACTAGATGATTAACGTCGGAAGTACTGCTTATTATCTATATCTATACTATAATAAAAACGTAACCGATCGATGTCTGTACATTGAAGATATATGAAAAAAACTGTTATGAGAGGCATTTATAAACATAACAGAACACAAAACAACCATTTATAAATTTTTTGTCTGTTTTTCGGTTTGTCTGTTTGTCTGTGCGTTTGTGCACGATAATCTCAGAAACGGCTGAACCGATTTAAATGCAGTTTTCACTATTGTATGTATGGTAACATATGTATGGTCACTATTGTATATACATTTAGTTAACGGAAGGTTACTTCAATTGGTTCATGAATAAAAAGTTATATCAATTTGAAGCACTGTGTTCGCCAAAATTGCTATGAAATTAATTAAAATTAAGTCTCTGATCCCATGCAGTGGGGCGCAGGCCTTTAATTTTTTGGTCACCTATTCCGTGAACAAGCCATGCAAAAATTGCTTAACAACAATAATCGTGGGTAGCGGCGCTTATCTGTTGCGCTACCGAGCTCCGTATTGATATTGTCTGCAATGTAAGTTGATTTCAATTATATATGACCAATCGTATTGAACCCTAAAAAATATGATTGATCATATATATTATCAGCTGAAGCTTATAAGGGACATGTAGTATACGATCACGCGAGTGGGAGATCAAGCGAAAAGAGCATTGCGCTGCTGCAATTTAGTATCGAATAGTTTATAGTGAATGCATTTAATTATAAGGTTTTCGATAGTAAATTAAGGTCAGATTTACATTTTCGAGGCTAGGGGAGGTGGTTGGCAGCCACTCTACCTTGCACTCTCACCTGTCTGGGAGAGGCTCTCGATGGACCTGAGCCTCTCCGTCTGCGATGGGACCGACGGTCCAATAATTGAGTGTCCTGGTGACTCCGCTGCGGCTGGGTGGGTGGGTTCACGGAGGTGTCCTAATCATCCCTTGTTGCTTGCCGGGTAACAGAAACAGAGCCAGAAGCATTTTCTTGACGGTAAAAAAAGTTAAGTTCACGTCGCAGCATATACGTTCGCTAAAAACGTACATAAATTGTAAGAATGCTTTGAAAAAAGGTCAAACCTGCAAAACTGCTAAAACGATGAGATTCTTAAGAAGAACCTGCAGCAAGACGTAGGAAATTTTTAGGCCAGGTTACGCCCTATAAAAACTTAGGATCGGCATGTATCTAAACTGGGTTTACACCATTCTCGGATGAGTGAAGACAACTCAAGTTCAAACAATAGGGTAGTGGACCCATTAAATTAACGATTAAGCCGAATCGCTAACTTTAAATATTTGTAATTAAATTATCTTAGTAATTGAAGTTGTTCTTTTGTTCATTTAGGATGTTCAAAAACTATAAAATTAATAAAAACTTTAAAAAATTGCCTCATGATTTAAAACTTGGGTTATACAATATAAGAATTAATAAAATATGTTGGGTTTCCCCCTACAGTTGAACATTGATCCCCATTTATGAACGTTTTACACCTAATAGTTGAACTACTATTTTAAAGAAGGTGTAGAAATTGTGTACCTACTTAATTTTTGAGTGTATTTTTAATGAAAATAATATAAAATAAAGGAAACATTTGTTTATTTAATTAAATAATTTGGTAGTCTAAATCATCTAGTATTAATATCACCTTATTAACAAATCAGGAAAGTACTAGACGTAAAAAGGTATGGAACTTTTTAAAAAGGTACCAGGTACTTGTAAAACTAATTTAAAACTAGTATAACATCAATAATAAATAAAACATTTCGTTGTAATAAGTAATCATTCTTCTTCTACCAACTCGAGGATATGGCAATATCTTGGTTATTTTTGACATTGATACTTCTGTCAAATCTTCGATAGACTGTATAACAAAATATGTCGGGTCATCGAATTTGCTTGCTTTCCTTCGCAGACACTTAATCTTGAATATTTTTTCTCGTAGTCGCATATTAGCACTTGTCCAACATAGTAGCGATTTCTTTTATTTGTCTCAAATTCAACTATAACATAACTATTTAAATCAATATTTCACTTATTTGTAGTCAGTCTTTCACGTTTATTTATCATAATTGCTTCAACATTTGTTATTTTAGTCTTTGGTTTAGTCAAAAGATTCTTCCCTCTGTTTTTTTTCTCGTTAGCTTTTCTTAATTTTTCCATCTTAATTTGCTCTCGCTATATCTTTCGGTCCAATATACCTTTTTCTTTTTTTGTCTTTTTCATTTCCTTCCGTTCTAAGTATTCTTTAAACTTTTTGGAAGTTATAGCTAAGGGTACTGGAGACTTAGAACGCTTACACTTTGTAGTTTTTTTTTACTTTCTGGAAGTCTCAACAATTTATCAATTTTAACATCTATTTGTGTAGACCATCCTGGGGCGGTAGTTTCGACACAGTTTGCGAACGTAATGTTACCGAATTCGGTCGCTAACTCATAGCGATCGTAATTTAACGAATATTGCAAGTCTCTACATTTAAAGTTATCGATTTTTGTCGGTAGCGTAGCGAGTTCAACTGTCAAATTAACGAATTTCGTTTGCTCCTTAGCGACCAAATTTGATAGCTCGATAAGTGGGTTTTGCGATCAATAATAATCTTTTTTGTCGATATTTTACGGAATGTCGAGGTATTTATATCGGAAATTTAATCATAAAGATATTTAAAACGTGATGGCTGAAGCATATTTAGCATTAGATTTAACAGTGCTTGAACATCGACACCTAATTGTGAGGCGACGGCAAATAGCCAGAAACAGGCGATGTCTCCAAAATCCTTTGGCTTTAGATGAGACGGAATTTCTTATGCTATGTAGAATTAGCAGAAGATTGAGCGAACGTTTTTATACCTAAGATTATTTTTCATTTCAATACATTTTATATAGGTAGATGTGTTATGAAACAAGATATAAAAAGAACTAAAAGATGATAAATCAAATTAAATAATTTATTTACTATAACCAAAAATTTAAAATAAAAGGGACGAGGTGATTAGTGAGGTGAAAAGTGTAGAAGTGTGAGTGAGAGTGTCTGTAGGTGAAGGGGCGTGGGTCAGCGGTGAAGTTCCGTTGATGAAGTACTTCAGCAGTCTTGAGGGGCGTCTGGATCCCGAGCGTAAATTTAGCGAGGCGTAGTCTCTCGATGCGTCGAACAGGAGATTCTTCGGCAGCCGAGAACTGAGAGCGTAAATCAGTGAGGAGTAGTCTCGATGCGTCGTACTGGAGATTCTTCGGCAGCCAAGAACCGAGAGCGTAAATCGGCGAGGCGTAGTCTCGATGCGTCGAACAAGGGATTCTTCGGCAGCCCAGAACTGAGCAACAGCTCGGGCCTAAGGCGTATACTCGCAGACAGCCTCCAGGAGTGAAGTAGCGAAGGAGGTTATAGTGGAGTATTGATTTGTTGTCG